TGCGGTCGCTCTAGCTTTGCAACGGAGCATTTTCAGAGAAAACCGCACATAATTTCTGACCTTCATTGCCTGTTAGGTAGATCGTGTCCTTTGTGAGACGAACAAACACCCGGGAAGTGAGATTGAGAGTAACAGACACACACACAGACAGACAGACAGACAGACAGACCCAACTACTGTAACCCTCGCTGCGCATGCACGCCGAGGGTTAATCACCAAATCACTTCTAGTCATGTGGTAGGCTCGTGTGCTATTCACCTGTATGCTTTCACTTTTCATTTCTCTAACTAAAACCAAAACTACTACATCTTAGTGGTGCTACAATAACCTTTCTCTCTCGTCTCCTCCACTGGGTGCTCTCTGCATGCAGTGGTGAGTTCTCGCAGGAGAGCACGGGGGTCCTGTACAAGGGGAAGTTCAGCAAGGGACTGTTCCACGGGAGCGGGGAGATGCTCTGGTTCTCCGAGAGAGACTGGCGGAAGAAGTACATCGGAGACTTCAGGAACGGACACATGCACGGCCACGGGGAGATGAAGTGAGGACCTGCAGTTTTATATGGGGCAGCATAGTTAGTTGTGACCTGTAGTTTTATATGGGGCAGCATAGTTAGTTGTGACCATATGGGACAGCATAGTTAGTTGTGACCGCTGGCTGAGGCACAATGATGCACTTTTCCCAACCTTCTTCTTCTTCCTAACACATTGTTAAATTTTACGTTTACAGACCGGCAAGATATTGAAAGATAGTCATTGGTAGATTTCTGGGAACAATCCATAACATCCACGTAGGGTTAATTCCCGAGAAAAGATCTACACGGGATCATACATGTCCAGTACTGCTACTGGCAAACATTTGGGTATTCAATTGAGAGAGTTAGATGCACACTTCCCCTCCCTCCCTCTCTCCTCCCTCCCTCCCTCCCTCTCTCCCTCTCTCCCTCCCTCTCTCCTCCCTCCCTTCCTCCCTCCTCCCCTCCTCCCTCCCTCCTCCCTCCCTCTCTCCCTCTCTCCCTCCCTCTCTCCTCCCTCCCTTCCTCCCTCCTCCTCCCTCCCTCCCTCCCTCCCTCTCTCCCTCTCTCCCTCTCTCCCTCCCTCTCTCCTCCCTCCCTCCCTCCCTCCCTGCCTCCCTCGCTCCTCAGATACTCAGATGGTCATATCTACATAGGCCAGTGGGGGAGAGGGGAGAGATGGGGGTTTGGTAGGATGGAGGAGACATCTCGCAGGAACTCTCTCTACACCGGAGGCTGGGAGGCCGACCGAAGGAGTGGCTATGGTGTCTACGAGGACAAGATGAGGTACATAACAAGATAGCTACAATTGCTACGGTGTGTAGTTTGCATAGTGTAATGCTATCCCATATACAGAAGAAGTCTAGTTTATGAGATTTCTGAAAGTCGCAAATTAATGATTGGTGATTGCTACATAATTATTGGTTTTGTGTAAATCGCAAGATTATATGTGCTATCCTCAGAGTGGCATATAGAATATTAGTTTATGAGCTTCTGAAAGCCACACTTGGCAGCCTACCTGCATTAAAATTATCTTGGTAAAATCCCAGATGAACTGATATGGAAACTCAAGGTTGGGTGTGATCAAACTCATATTCGCTGTATATGGGATATCTCATTAGGAGGTGGCTGGGTAGTGCGTGACATTACACACAGTTTCAGAAGTCTGATCAATGGACTGAATGTTGGAATGTTTCATTTGTTTAGACATGAGCGCTATCTTGGAATGTGGAGTGATGGGGTTAAATCAGGACCAGGAATGTTCGTTACGTCCACCGGAAGTTACGGCGAGGCTATATTCTCTGCTGGGAGTATTGCAGTAAGCCTAACCTTTCACACACACACACACACACACCACACACCACACACCACACACTCACTCACACACACAAAATTGTAGAGCTCAAATGCCTTAAGTAGCATATGAACATAAAACATAATTGTAGTAAGCCTAACCTTTCACACACACACACACCACACACTCACTCACACCACACAAAATTGTAGAGTTTAACAATGAACATGAAACGTAATAGTCACATACATAGCCGTCGAGTGATTTGTGGTACATTGTTGTATGTAGGCTGGGAATGAAGGTTTCCTGATTGACTCAAACGGCCAGTCATTCACCGGAAAACTGGGCCCAGACCTCAAGCTCTGTGGAAAGGTAATCTACACCATACTCAACATTAGCAATCATTGTAGCCCAATGACACGGCTCCAAACAAGGAAGCACAGTACATGTAAGCCAAGGTTCAATTATCGAGTCTGGTTAGTTCAAACTCCCCGTAACTGGCCTTCCTTTTTATGTACAGAAACTTCACATGTAATGCATGTGGTAGCACGTAGCACGCTTTTGCTTGTCAAAATTACACCAGTCCAGCAAAAAGTATTAATTACGCACTGTACAGGTGGATCATGTTGCTCTAACACTACGCACCGTTTTGCATCATGCCCCCTCGTGAAATTATTACAGGGCCGGATACATTATGTAACCGTGCTATATTCTATTTTCATTTTCGGTACCGTTACTCGAGTAGTATGCTAGTCACGAGGTTACAGTGATAAAATCACTCCACACACATTTATCATCGTCTAGAGTACAACATTCACACAAAAACAACGGAACGCTATGACAACACAATGGAGTGGGGAGTAGGGCAGAAGCACAATTAAAAGTGTGTGTGGACAGACGCTGATCCTTTCCTCCCACCATTCTCCACCACGTCTCCTGCCAGTGCAGCTCTGATCTTGGCTGTCCCCGACTGCCCCACTCTCTCACCTCCCACCCTCCCACCACCTCCCCTTATAGGTCTTGTCTCTCCACTGTCCTCTGAGCTCATATCTGTGTCAATACCGCCACTCCCTACCTCCCCCTCCCCATCCCCTTCCTCCAGCACTGCACTGGTTGTGCTACACTCACTGTCTGTCGTGTCCTCCCTCCCCCTCTCTCCTCTCCTTCCGTCGTCCATATCTGCCCAGTGTTTCCTCCACCTGCCTTCTCCCCCACTCCCCCCTCTCTTCTTACTTGGTTTCCTCGTGTGCCTGAGTGTATATTTCCCACGGACACTCCTGATCCGATAAGGCACTTTACCTCTGCTGCCAGAATCATTGCCTGCCGTCGCACCTCCTCCAATCCCCCCACTGTTTTTGCTAGTGCAAGATTTCGGTTCGGGACTTCCGGATTTCCTCATCTGTGAACCCACCACCGGAGATGGCGGGGTGTGATTTTCATCGGATGGCATATGAGGTCGGTGCTTGTCGACTGATCCGTAGTACCCTGCCCGCCGTCCCTGGCTCCCACTGCGATCTGAGATGGTTTGAAACACATTTGACCTCCGTCTTCTCCGTCGACCACCCCTACCTCCCCTACCACCTCTCTCCTCATCTTCCTCTTCTTCTTCGTCTGTCTCCATGCTCGGTGGAGGGAGGTACCCTCGCTGACCTTCCCCCGAGCAGCACCTCTGGAAATCCCGTCGGTAGCTCGGGACGCAGTAAAGCAGCAGAGTGTTGGTGATCCCGAGGTACACAAACGTGTATAGGTAGACAAGAACGCTCTCCCAGTTGGTGACGTACTGCAGTGTGCGTGTCTGGACCAGTCCCAGTGGGATGATCCAGAGCAGAGTGCTGATCAGGACGAGGCACCCAAACACCAACAGAAGGGACACTCCGCACAGTCCGGTCCTGCGGCAGCAACCGAGTTTAGCCAGTGAGAACAGGAGAGCCAGGTAGAGGTTGAGACCTAGTGTGGCGAGCACCAGGACACCTCCACTGCTCCCTAGAGCCTCCACAAACCTCACAGAGAAACTGAAACACCTGATGGAGAGGTCGCCGCTCCCGTATGCCGAACAGTTTCTTATAGGCTCCCTCGTGAGTGGCGTGACCTGACGCGAGTAATTGAAGGGGAAGCAGTCCAACCTCTCGCTGCACACGTGCCCACCGTCTTCCACCGTGAGAGCAGTCACAAACACAGCGAGGGAGAGCCCCACTGCCACGGCCAGGGACTGGACTAGCAGGGGAACTGCTCCCGGGCTTATCTTCTCCCCGTGCAGCTTCATCTTCACCTCGTGTCTAGTCTTCCTCGCCTCCAGTCCCTTTCCGAGCACCGGCTGGAGGACCAGGTACATATACTGGAGACCTGGGTACTCAATCAGCTCGTGTTCTCCTCGGTTCTCTCTCACTCTCCTCTTTTGCCTCTTGTACTGAAGATAGCTGACTCCCCACACAACGTAGCTGACTACTAGTATCGTGACTGTTACGATGAGAGGTGACAGAACCATGACAAGTAGATATGCATCATAGTTTGCCATAGTCGGGATTCTTTTCTATTGCTGGTTGAGAGAGCCAGTACCAAGATGACAGCTCTGCAAACAAGCTTTGCTGGTAGTTCTAGTTAGTGAGCAGCATCATGTGATGTATAATGCAGACCTAAGCTAAGCATATTAAACTACAATCATTATGTACTAATTATATGTAGTAATTTGATATCGACCAGCTTGCACATGAAATACTTTCTCCTCATGAATAATATTAACCTGTACCTACTAGTACACACTGCCCAATGTAAATTTTTCACAGCCTGTTATTTATTAAATAAACATTCATCGCCCCAAAGGTCACTGCTTAAAACGTACTGTCGCCATGGCTGTGACAGCATTCACAAGCACGGCTGGCACCGTTCGACGTCGATCGTTGACAGCTCATTCTGTGACCCTTACAGAAGTGTATTAGCAGCTTCTTCTAGTAGCAGATTTCTACTGGAGAGTCAGTATTCTCATTTCTCTCTACAAGCTTTTACTTTTTGCCAGTCTTCAGTGTATGGTGCCAGCTAGCTGTACATAGACCTGCTGTAGTTCAGAATCTACTGAGAATAACACCAGAAAGGTCCCTGGAGCATTTGCAAACTTGGATTGAAAAGAGATCTACATTGTGTTATAGTGGCGAATGGCAAGTGGCTACAGCTACAGTACCTACACCAACTGGGACCTCTGGGTCCCAATAGTAGTCTCCGTCTCCACTGTCCTCCTCACCACCGTGGCTGTCGCTGCCTCCCTCGTCTGGTTGAAGCTCCACCGCTCCTCCGCCCACCACTCCCTGGAGCTGGCCTACCACTTTGCCCGACTGGTCCTCGGGGACTCTCTCCAACGAGACGTCAAGGCCCACCCACCTCGACTCACTCTCTTTGACCGCACAGTCTCCCCCACGGCCATGATCCTCCTCTCCACCCTCTCCCCCGCTCTCCTCGTCCCGGCTTTCGTCTCGTTCTGGGCCTCGTTTCTCGTGGACGAGACGTTTGCCTGCGACCCCGGACTCGACTGCTTCTCTCGTGATCTCTCCTCCTTTTCCATCAATCGCCACAGACTCTCTCTCTCCAACTGCACCGAATTGGACGACACTAACACCACCGTCATCTGTTTCCAGTTTGTACTGGACTATGTGACCGGCTTTGCTTCAATGGGTGGTGTACTAGTAGTGAGTGTGGTGTCACTGAGAGTGTATGGGATCGTTCTAACGTGGCTGGTAGGGGTTATGCCATCCTATACCCAAAGGGAAGGTGAGAGGTGCTATTTGTGCCGGGCTCTTTGTTCGGTAGTCGGGATCTTCATTTTCTTCCTGGCTCCCATCATTATCTCGGTCGTCATCCTAATCGCAGTCCTTTTGGTTCCGTTTGTAAACGAAATTGTGTTCCAGAGCAGCGAACGGACACTCAAGTTTGCCACCTACTGGCTCTCCCTGCTGTACTGTGGGACTGTGAGCGGAGCGTGTGTGCTGGTCACTGTCCTGGGGAACCATCTCCACCGACAGGGCTACGATACTACCAGTGTCGAGCACGAAGCAGAGATCACCTCCAGTTTCATACTGTCGGCTACCAACCCCCTACAACAAGAGCCCGGCAGATCTGTCAATGCTATAACTAATCCAAGTACGCCGGTAAAGACTGAATCGCAACCGGTGCCGACTAAATATGAAGAACCGGATTTCAATCCTCCAAAACTTGTTGGGTCGGTCCTGACCAGCTACTGCGACGTAACATCACTGCCACCTCAGCATACAGAGAGCAGTCTGCTACTCTCTGCTCCAGCCAGAACAGCTGACTATCAAACCACGTAATAGCCTCCATTTTATTATAGGTCACCACTTTATACAGTTTAAATGCACCTATTGCTGATGCTTGCAATAGCTGTTATTCATCCTATACTGAGCGCGTGTCGGGCAGGTAGTGTAACCGCCTGGCGGAGGTGAACTTGTATGGGTGTTACCGTCATACAACCTGCTAATGGGGGTGGTAGTAAGTCACTCACTGACTACTAGCGTGGATCAGCTCCATTAATTTGTGGGAGTTAATGCAGGGGGGGGATCCGCTATCTGACAATGGATGAGTAACTTTAAAACAGCAAACTGTTGTGTGGCTTGCTTGCATGAAGAACTCTCAGTATGTTGCAGAGGAGCATGAATACAGCAGTGGCGAGGGAGGTGTGCATCAAAATGTATTTCACAACCCTGTGGAAACATTTTAGCAGCAGTATGATTGTGGGTACTGACTCAGCCAGCAATGTTCATAGTAATTAAGCTCATTGTTATTGCATGGAGGACTGATAACATTTTTGTGGACTACAACAGAATCTAGTTGTGCTAGAGCAACTGTAGTCTTTGCTGGGCATTACGCAATGGGTTTCTATCAGGAAGTGGGGAAATTTATGATGACACTCTGACTGGACTGTTTGACTCCTGGGACTGTCTCTCACCTCTTCCTAGTACTACATTCTGACAGAGTAACTTGGAGGGAAAGTCTTAGTCATTGTGGGATGTAATGCTACATACTCACTATACTGGTGTTGTGTCATGGAATGGACCTAGGGGAGTCCTGGGCTGTTTTAGTTCCTATAAAAGCACAGAGCTTTGCCTGAGATTATCATTCACAAACTGCAGACAGCAGACTTAAAGGTTTCTGGAGAAGAGATTACGTATTCTTGAAGGGCAGTGAGGTGCTTCTGATTCCAGCATGGCCTCTATGGACGTTTACTATGTCTGGAACGTCGTGGTTCCAGCTGTACTGTCTGCCCTACTGTGGCTAGTCATCTTTGTCCTGATGCTCGTGTTTATCCCGTTGTTCGATAAAATGCCCCGTATTTTCGTCGAGATTTTGCAGCTGAGTCTCTCCGATGTTGACTGTGAAAACAGTTCCTGCAGTCGTGTCGCGATCGACGGCCAGAGAGATCAATAGAAAAGCTCTCAAAGTCTGGGTTCTCCTGGTCATACCCTTGACCGCCGCCACCATTTTCTTCTCCTTCTGGAACGTCTGGCTGGTGGAGGAAGAGACCAGCACCAACTGTCTCCCCAACTTTGACTGTTTTCCGATGCTGGGCGACCGACAGCTCAAGGACACACCGGTCAACAGCTGCTCCGAGCCCTTTAAATTCTCAACCCTTGCAGACAACGATGCAACTGAAACGGCTCTAGACAACCTGAATGGAACCGATATACTGAATGACACGGAGACGAGAGAGATGGTTGCAGCTGATGAAATAAGCTACAGGTGTTATCGGTTTGTGTTCCTTTACGCCGAGGGAATCGGTGCTGCTGGAGGTATCCTCTTCTTTACCGCAGTCTTCTCAAAGCTCTATTTCTGCTTCCTCGTTACTATCATCTGTTCGAAACGCCACGATTACCTACGCTTTGGAGTTCTATTCTTTGTCTGGATTTTTGCGGCCGTGGTGTGGGTGCTCTTCATCGTTGTGAATACAGCTGTTCCAATAATCAGAGAAGCAGTGTTCCAGACCCATACTGACACCATTCAGTTCACTCTCTATGCTGTCAACTTTGCCGCTGTTGTTGTGGGTGGATATGTTGTCAGCATCGGAGTTATGTGTGTTTAATTGCCACGTTCACGACGTGGGTTTTCTTTCAGTTTTTTGTGCATAAGCTGCTGGAATGTTGCTATAATTTGCTGCAAATTTATCTTCGTATATGCACAATGTATGTGTAGGCATGCAACAGTCTCCAAACAAAACAAGAAAAAATTTTTACAAGTGAGGGTTATTACAAAATATGGCGATACTTGGTGAAAAAAGGCCTTCACTTTCAAAAGTGCCTGAAATATTACGGATTTTCACAAAAAATGCAGGAAATTTTTAAGTGGCCCTTGCGATATTTCTGCCTGCATGTGCAGGAAATTAGAGGGTGGTGCAGGAAAGTTAACTGAAAATTTTCCAATTCTTTCCTGTACACATTATTATTTTGTTTGGAGCATATTATACTCTCGTGTCAAGTTTTTCACATGATCAGTTTGTTCATTGTTTTGTTTGTTACCTTAATGCTGGGTCCGTGACTTTGAATGTGCACATAAGACGGTTGTAAATTGATGTGCATGCAGGCCCTTTATGTACATTAGCTGCAGATGCAGAAATAAGCTTTGGTGCTTGACTTAGCAGTCATAACTTATCTGTGGGGAGCTGATAAGGTGTGTACATAGGTATAGTGAGGGTAAGTCCCAGGGACAGCCCAATCCTGCTGTGACTCCCTATAAATAGAGGGTTTGCCTCAAACAACCAAGTAAATTGACTGCTGGTGAACTTTTTCATTCTTGAGCATTTTCTCTGGTAGACAGCTTCGTTCAGCATGACTTCCTTGGATACCTACACTGATGTGAATGTCGTGGTTCCAGCAGTGCTCTCTGGTGTTCTTTGGGCTCTAATCTTTTTCCCACTGCTATTTGTTCTCTGTCTGGTCGACGACGTGCCACGCTTTTTTGTCGAGATGTTGCAGCTCAGTATGTCTGACATTGAAGAGAGTGGTGGATCTTGTGTCAAGGTGGATGGCTGCAAAATCAAGAAAAACTTTCTCAAACTCCTACTCCTTCTAGTCATTCCCTTGACAGTCACTACCATTTTCTTTTCCTTCTGGAATGTGTGGCTGGTGCAGGAAGAACCCACAGGGGGCTGTCTACCAAACTTTGACTGTTTCCCAATTCTGGGCGATACAGTTCTCCAGGACACGCCGGTTGAAACCTGCTCCCAGTCCTTCAATCTATCAACGGCAGTAGTAGATCTCATTAACGATACAAATATCTCCGCGGATACTGCAGCAGAGGGGGAGCTGGCACCCGATGCTGTAACCTACAAGTGCTATCGGTTTGTGTTCCGCTATGCTGAGGGAATCGGGGCAGCCGGAGGCATACTTTTATTCACCGCCATTCTGTCTAAACTCTATGTCAGTATTTTCGTGAGCATCTACAACATGGACAATGATGCTGTAGCACGTGGATGTATGATTGGTTTGTGGATTGCTACACCGGCTCTGTGGCTCCTGT